TTACAAGCTCTTAAGAACTGCCGAGTTTGTAAGAGCTTTTGTTTTGGAATTCTTATCGGAGTTTGGTGTTTATGTTATTTTCTGGGCTCGAAGCCAGTTTGAACTGAAAACTGATAAAGAAAAGCCTTCCTTTTAAGTTTTGCCTGCGTTTGTTAACGAGCCATGCAAGGGGGGGGGGGGTCAGAACAGCTGACCATAGCTTGTTTAATCTTTGATGTTTAACAAGCAAATGTTTCAGCTGATTCCAACCAAACAATTCTATTGCCAAAAAGTAAAGATTCTGGCGTTGAAAAATGTGGCAAAGTACAACTTCTAGCCAGCCTATTAGAAATGTGGGATACTGAACCTTTTCAGTCAAAGTTCAGGCCAGGATACAGCCCTGAGATGCTGGTGGAGGATTGGGGATGTACATCTTATCCTGCCTGGATTACTTAGCTGCTTTTGATATCACTGACCATATATCCTTCTGGACTGACTTTGGGGGTTGAGAGTGGGGGATGGTTTTTCCTTTCTCAGTGGTCAATTCCAATAGGGCTGTGATGGCGAACCTATGGCACACATTCCACAGGTGATACGTGGAGCCATTTGTTAGGGCACGCAAGGTGTTGCTCTGTCAGCTCCAGCGTGCATGCCCATGCTGGCCAGTTGACTTCAGCCTTCATTTTGGGCCATTTTTTCAAAAAACAACCCAACATGCAAATCGGAAGTTTGGGAACAGACTTCCGGTTTGTGGCTTAGGCCATTTTTCTCCCTCTGGAGGGCCTCGGGGGAGGGATGACACCAGGGAGGCCGTTTTCACCCTCCTCAGGCTCCTAGAAAGCCTCTGGAGCCTGGGGAGGGCAAAAAATAGGTCCATTGTGCGCAAAAAGTTGGGGGAGGGTGGGGGTCACGTGCGCATCAGCAGGGGCCATGTGTGCGTGCATGTGGGGGGTGGGCACAACCCTCATGCGCTCCCCCTTTTGGCACATATGGGGAAAAGGTTAGCCATCACTGCAATAGGGAATGGGAATAGAACCTTTTAATGTGGGGTACCTCAGGGCTCAGATCTTCTCTCCCTCCTCTGTAATATCTGTATGAGATCACTGGGAGAGGTCATGCAGCAAGATTCACATATAAATTAATTTAATCAAGATATCCCTAGATGAGGTATTATAAATTAATCAGTAATTCTTGGGTGCTACTACCTGATTTCTCTCAGACATCAGAAAATCTATACGACCTCCTGGAAGACCAAGTTCAATGTACGTTTTTACTAATCTTAAATCTGCACTGTTACCTAAAATAAAGGAAAATTTCAGGTATTAGAAAGATTTACTTGGCAGAAATAAAACATTTAAATTAAAATAATGATGTGTAATACTGTAGAAATGTTCATTTAGTCTGAGACTCACATTACAATTCTATGAATTAAAAGGCAATATTTTCTATTTGTTTATATTTAAAACAGAAATAGTCTTTTAATTCAGAGATTGAATAAGCTCCTTACCAAAAAGTATCCTTTGCTCCAAAAAGGGTAAATGGTTCCATTTTAAAGGAATTGAACACTGTGGTTTCTTTCAGTTAATTGCTTACAGCACAAATATACATTTAAAAACACTTGAAAGCTAAACTTATTAGTCCTTTGCTCATTTATCTAATTTGTATCACAGTTTCCTATTCAACTTAATATTTAAGGGACCTAAATGGCACCTAAAATAGATCATGCACAATGCAATTTAACAATATTTTATGACAATAAGTTTCCATAAACATTTGGGCAGCTGCCTTGTTAAACACTGCATTATCTAGTTGATTTACTACATTAAGCATCATGCTGAGAACAAGAAATTTGGATAACTGCATGTGTTCATTTAAAAAGAAAACACTTGGTATTTTATGCAAGGATAATATCAAACATACGCAGTTTCCTAATTAGCAATAACTAGATTGAAATGCTAATTTGACTGCTTAATTACTGTTAATTAGGAATTTGTTTATATTTTGTACTATACAGACTAAATTTTCTCATATTTAAACTAAATTTGAAATCCAGCATATCAACTATTTACTAATTTATTATCAGCTGCCACAGCTTACCATCGAGGCCATGCACACAGATAATGAGGTGTATTCCATCTTCCGAATTTTCTTCTTCTGTACTGAAATAAGGCATGGAAGATGCTAGACTGGAAACATCACTGTACATGAATCCAGGAAGCTGAAGTTGCTTCAATTCGTCTTTAGCATGAAGGAATCTGTAATTAATAGATGTTTTTTTATCATTCGGCATATAAATTAAAATAAGAAAGTTATAGATGTTTAACTTTAATGTATTAATTAAATGCAATTGATGGAAACCAGTATCATAGATTCCGAAGTAAAATCTTATTTTTAGATCTTATTCTCTGAAAAATTTACACAGAGAATTTATGTCCTGAATCACCGTCTACATTTTCCAGTGATGTGTGTTTCAGATAATAACATTTGCAAAAGCATTCTGCTGTAGTTAATAAAATATTCAGTACCTTCACAAGATTACTGAACATCAACCTGTTGTACCTGAACACAACCTTCTTAGCAATTTAGCTGTATTTTCAGGTCACAGACCTATATTGATATTGCAATATATTGAAGCAGCTATATACTTGTAGAAATTTACAAACTTAAAGCTCTCTTCCAGCTTACAGACCTTCAAATATGTTGGGACTACAAAATCAAGTATATTGAGTCAACACATCAGAAATTTCATTAGATCAGCACATCTGCTTTGGTAAAGTAAAATTTAAGAATAAATTCTTCCTGAAGTCCAGGAACTTTTTTTATAAATTCAGACACAAATAAATAACAATTATTTACTTGTATCTGAATAAAAATTAAATAAATAAAAATAAACAAATACCTAAATTAAAAAGAAAAGAAACAATCTCAAAAAGACAGATTTGAGGGACCACTAGGTCTTTTTCTGTGCTCAGTTTTTTATGTTTAATAATAGTAACACCATCAAACAAAACAAAGAGATGAGAAGGACTAAGTAGGTGGATAAAAATGCCAAATCCAATCTGAGCATCTAGATGACTCTGCAAATAATGATGATGATGATGATGATGATGATGATGATGATGATGATGATGATGATGATGATGATGATGATGATGATGGAAGAAATCAATGGTTGTACCAATATTAATAGGAGCCCTTGGAGCTATACCCAAAGGTTGCCTAGATCAGTGTTTCTCAACCTTGGCCACTTGAAGATGTCTGGACTTCAACTCCCAGAATTCCCCAGCCAGCGAATGCTGGAATGCTTCAACTGAGAGTTGAAGTCCAGACATCTTCAAGTGGCCAAGGTTGAGAAACACTGGCCTAGATACATGGAAATTTTGAAATTGTCAGACCTGAATTTTCTGACTTTGCAAACAAAATATAAAAAAAAAACCCACCTTACTCAGAACTGCCCATATACTTGGACATTACCTTAACAACTCTTAGGTCCTTGGTTAGGACTTGAACTGTTAAGTTTTTACCAGTCCTAGACTGTGAATTGAATTGAAGATTAAATCACCACCATCATAACAACAAGAATAACAATAACCTACCAATCTTTTTTGCATGCACTGTATTTAAAAGAAGCTGTATTTCTTCACCTTCACCTGTGCTGGCTCCCTGTCAGGCTGTCCCAATTTCCCTATTTCATTTCTAGCATAAACCAAGGTATACAATTTCAAAGTAAGATATTCATATGTATCTTACCAGCCATCCAGTTTTACCCGTAATTGGGAAAAACTGCAAACCCAGTAACTAATCTTAGTAACTGAAAACAACTTCATCCATTTAAAAACAAGAATTCAATCTTCCTTTATACACACACAAGTACATTTTTTAAAAAGAATGCTTACGTTATCTGCATACAATAAAATATATAGGTTATTCTAGGAAATGCTTAAGATTGTGATTTTAGTATATCCTAATTCTATCTACTAAACTGGTAAACTCTAGCTAAATTCTGCTTTCCCAGTTTTGAAAGTAGGGTGCTTCAGTCATAGTTCTTAGGAACATACAGGAAAATGCTTACTATTTTAATAAATAATTCTAATTCCTCACCAAAATGAAGAAAATAGCAACTATCAGAAACAATATGCAATTTCTATTTCTGAATTACAATTCAAAAATGTGCATCTTTGTTTTAAAATATCTTCTGGGCCCATTTTTTAAAGTATTGATTGATTGAGTCAATAGATGGATAGATATGTCATCAACTCCATTCAGGCTCATGGAATCTTACAAATCAAAATCGAAACATCAACTACAGGACATCAAAACAAACAATAAAATATCCACTTACGCTAGCATTTGTGGTTTGGGAGAATATTCATACCAGGGAACAGATAAAATTGCACTACAGGACGAGGTGCTGGACTGCTTGGAAAAAGAACTGGATTTATCATGTGCGGACCATAAATTGCTACTTGGATATCCTTTCAAGCCTGGAGGAAAAATCAAACTATCTGGCTTGCATAATGGAGCTGTATTTGTCTCATTTCCCAACAGTTCATTAGACAAACTTTCTATTCTTAAACCTCTTTCACTTGTTAAATCAAAGTCGTCAAGACAATCATTTATAGTTTTGTACAAAAGATCATCTACTGCTTCCTCAAAATAACCATTTTCCACCATGCTTTGATCTTGATCCTCCTCTTCCTCCTCCTGGGGGGAAGCAAAACATAAGGTTCCCCTTTGAGGGCTAACAAGATTGCTGCTGTCAACAGAACTCACATTGGAAATCTCTGTACTATTCTGATAGCCAAAGTAGTTTTCAACAAGTCCTTGTTTTAATATATCAGTACTACCTTCTGACGAGGGGACATTCAAGTTTGTAAGATTTTGATTTTTTGTAATTAATAACTTATCAGTCATTTCTTTTTGCTCTAACATTTCATCAATATTCCTTTCACTTGTCTTTCTCGCATTATCAGCACAGGAACTTACAGAACCTGAAACAACACAGGCGTTTCCTGGATAAACAACTCCTGAAGGAATTTCACTTGATTTTTCTACAGTGTAAAAGTCTTTCTCTAATCTTTGGGCATCTTTACATGTATTGTCTAAAGTGAATTGTGGGCCATGAATGTTCATAGCTGTAGATGTATCTTCATTACAAACTAGCTGTTGAGGATGCTTGATTTTTGAGGTCAAGGAAGGCAAACATGTAGTTTCATTGTCTGATTGTTCAAAATACGTTATACAGTGAGGTGGCAAAATATCGGGCTCATCAACATCATCACATTTTGTCAAATCAATTGCTCCCAAGTCTAATACTGTTTTACTGTCCCTTAATTGACATTCGTGTAAAACGGATATCTTGGAATTTTCCTCAGGGGAAAGATCGTCATCAGAAGGGAGAGAGTTTATAGATGTCAGAGAAGATTGTATTTCACTTGTGCTCTCAGTATAGTGACTTTCCATCAGAGCTTTAATCATGACATCTGGTTTTTGGACAAGTTGAGGAAATGCTTTTTCACTGTTGCATGTGCTTTGGCCTTGAGGAGTTTCAAAAGCTGCATCTGCACTTGGATGCATTGCAAAAGAACTTGGTTCACTTTCTACACCAGAATCCGAGAACCTAGATGATGCATAGGTATTATTAACATCAGGCAATTTAAGAGTCTCTCCACTTAAAACTGTAGTGGGAATTTCTTTTGTTGATTGAGTAGCTGTGACCCTGGTCAAAGAATCCTCAGCATGTTGGAGATCTGTTTCTTGCACAACTTTTGTTTCAAGAGTTAGTTCCTCTTCTGATTTAGATCTCTTTTCTGATTCTGAACCTTCAAATGTAAGTTCTGGTAATGCTTCCCCTGGTAAATCTTCTGTCCCTGATCCAATTCGAACAAACACTTTATCTCCTCCATGTGATTTCCTACAGTATGGTTTCACTTCTATTTTTGTAACTGCGGAAGAAGTAACATAATTGTCAGCAGCAGTTCTGGATGTCAAACTGATATCCTCATGACTGTCATCAATTCCAGTCTGGGTGGTACAAAATTTACTCAAACTAACTGAATCTGCATAGGGAGAGGTGACGGAAGTATGCAGGCTTTCCTCATTCCCTTGTAGTTTAATATTTTTTTGTTCAACTTTAAAATCTTTTTGACCAACTAGTTGTAGGGAGATTTTTGTATCCCAGGCATGTTCAGCAATAGTAACATCCAGTCCTTCTTTTTCGTTGTATGAAGAAGTTCCTTCAAAACACTGGGCAATTTCTTCTGCTGCTGCACTTTTCAAACATTTATAGCCTACTAGGACAACAGAATCTTTAGAATTTTGTTTTACTACTTTTTTGGGATTTTCAGGTTTCATTGTTTTTATTAATTTGGTGACCTTAACTTTGGACTTATTGATATCTTCACATTTTCCTTTTGTAGACTTTGTAAGCTGCTTTTCACTTTCTGAGGCTACCAAATGTTTATTTTTCACCTCTGGACTCAAAAAGGTAGTTGTGAAATTTTCTTCAGTATCTTGTTTTTCTGGTTTCTTGGAATCAGACTTCGGCTGAATAGTTAGCCAGGGAACATCCACGTCTTTTTATTAAGAGACAAAATATTAAAAATAAAATTAGAATAAGCTCATGAAACCAATAGCAAAAGACATTTTACTATATTACAGTAAAAATTTCAAATATATATTAAAGAAGCAATTCTTTTAAGATCAGGTACCTTTGCGATAAAGCCTGGGTGCTCATGACTTCATCGTCATATTAGAATAGTATTAGTATATGTAACCAAAAGCAGAAAGCTTTTCTGATTTTATCTAGATGCAATGGAATGAACCCAGAATTCCTTATACATAAAATATACAAGGTACTTTGGAATTATAGCTTTTCTGATTNATATATATATATATATAAATAAAATGTACACATGCCAACAGTGTGCCATCTAGACACAGTCTATGTGCAATTTCTACTTCATACATTTCATTAAAATTGATCTCTCCCTCATATGAAAAAAAGTAAGACTTGTTGCCCTAGAATAACATTATTCAAGTTTCAAGTACATATTCTCCTGAATATTTTTACAAATATCTATGTTTTAGCTAATACCTGTTTGTTTATCCTTCAGAGCTGTTTTGCACATCTCAATACGGGCAGAATGATAAGGGACGTAACGATCTTGTAGGGACCCTACTAATATTATATTTTTGAAATACTGAAGACCTGTGAAAAGACAACAATTATAAATATTAAGATAACACGCAAACATATCAAGTTATAAGCTTAGAGAAATTCACTCTCAGCCCAACAAAACCTCTTGGGTTAATAGATATTAGGGATGTAACAAATGCTAGGATCCTATTACTCCCTTTCTACGACTAAACTAAAGCACACATAGGAAAGGAAAAAAAGGAAAATTATACTTTTCTGGCACCTATCAATACCAAGGTTAAACTTTAACTGTGAGAAAAGCTCTTTAAATAAATCTTCATTCATATAGCTAAGTAGAGCTCCAGAAATATAACTATATGCAAATATGATCATGATATTTGTAAAAAAAATGACCATATATGGTAAAATAGATTTTATGACTAATTAATTTATAGTGAAATGGTAAAATAAGTTTCTTAAATTTCCACTGATAGTTGTAGTGGAATTCATTTAACTTTTGGGCGTACTGCTAAAGCAACTGACTCATTTATAGTTTCTGTGAAATTTGAGATTGCAGTCAAAACTATAATCCTCGCCTGGTTAATCTTAAGAGCATTTCTTTTATTACCATTTTACAGAACAGTAGCAAGGCTTAATCTTATGGTTTCATCCATGCTTTTTCATTTAATATTTTAACAGTGGAAATATTTGGCAAGAAATCATATTTCACTGTGTTTGTGAAACTGAGCTACATGGTTATGATTTTCAAAATAAAATAAACTAGTAAGTCCTTGTATCAATACCATAATTATGTTTATTTTTTAAAAAACAGCATCACATAGTATATTATTAACAGAAAACCTCTGACATTTTGTAGGGAAACTATTTAAATCTGAATATATGAGATCACTGGTATCATATTCACTTGCTACCCCAGTTTCTTCAAAATATACTAATGTATAAATGAAAACAAGTTTCATTAAAAGTTAATGCTTTCAATGAAGTTGATATAACTTACCTGCTTTTCTACTAAGTTTGTATAAGAAGGTTTGCCGGGGGTCTGAATGATCTCGACAGGTCAACTGTAACAAAGATCCTGACTTCTTCCACTTCTGCATAAACCAGAGGCCTATATTTTTGCATATATTACATGTGAATACACAGAGCACAATTGTACAAATCTTTGAATAATTTTCTAATTAGTGTTCATTCTATACATCCTAAGGGGGTTCTACTCTATTTGCTTATCTAATATGTAAGAATTTAAATTGTAAGTACACATATCAAATGAATATGTCAAGACAAAATGCTTACTGAATATACAATATGAATGTATGTGTGTGTATGCACACACACACATAACATATATATGCTAAACACAATTTTAATGTTCTTTAGTACATCAGTCTTGTGTTCTTCAGCCAATTGATTAAATGTAGCCTTAAAAGCAAATCATCTTTGACAAAACAGAATGGCAATTATTCTGAACACTTCCTAGAAAGTGTTGGGTGTTCAATGGTTCTCAGTATCTCAGGAAATAGTTCATCCCATATAAAATGTTCTGAAATTTGGGGAATCAATGAAGCTCTACTTCACATACTAATCAAAGTGACTTCCAGGAAAGGCAATGTGATCCTGGTGATCCCTTTGCGATAAGTAATTATTCTTCGCTCCTTTTTTTCTTCTTCTAACCAATTAATCTTACCCCACAGAAGTGCTAGCATTTTTCTTTATGTTGTATCTGTTTATATACACCTGTATTGATTTTATTGGCCTTTTCCCTTACATATTTTAAAAACTGACAATAAAAATCCCACCTAGCATACCAAAATGATACAGAAACATGAATATTGAAATGAAATGTTTTAGCTCCCTTAATTTAGAGTACTTAATTTTACTCGGTATTATTGTAGGTTATTTAATATAGAGGTAGGTAATCTCTATATTAGATTCCAGATATTTGAACAATGATTCATGTTACTCCTAACCAATGACCTTAACAGTGGAGAATTACAGCACTTGTGCTTTAACATATCTGATTCCTTCTTCTTACTTCATTATACCGCTCTGTTTTTTTAAATAGTGAGGTATCCTATGCATTTTAATGGATACTAGAAATACTTGCTCAAACTTTGACAGTTTGAAGAACATCATGACATGGTTTAAAAAGATTAAAATAAGCCACCCTTTTTAATAGTTCTGAGACTTTAAAGTGGACATCAAATCTAGTTGTTTTTTTTTACCTGTATTAACAAGAGCACTGCTGTTGTAGAGCGTACCAAGATGTGGTCCAGACAGAGAGAGGAAGGTATAAAGTTTATTGAGGTAATATCTAAACCTAGGTCTTGTGAGTACTGAACGGATTATTAAATTACCCAGTGAATGTCCAATAAAACTGAATAAAAAAAGATAAAAAGAGAGTGTAAGATTTGGAAAAAATATTTTTTAATACATTATCAACTTAAACCTTGAACTTTAACTTTGTTTGTTTTTCTTCCATTTTACTGTGTCCAAATCTTGGAAGCTGCTGTCTTCTTGGCAAGGTTTTTCAATAATGGTTTGCCACTGTCTCCTTTCTAGGGCTGAGGGAAAATGGCTGGCCCAAGGTCACCCAGCTGGCTTTGTGCCCAAGGTGGGACTACAACTCACAATCTCCCTGTTTCTAGCCTGGTGCCTTAACCATTATACCAAACTATCTCTTAACTTTGTTTTGCAGTACTGCAAATGTGATGCTTTCCGAACATGCATAAAACAATCATGCAATTTATGAAAGGGTTTTCATTATGCTTACTAAAATCACCATCAATGAGGGGATATGAATAAAAATGCAGAGCATGTTTTGGCTATCACTGGTTTCCAAACATTCCACAATACTCTTATTTATCTCTGTCATTCCTCTACTTCACTTCTGTAGTTTCCATTACAAATTATGGAACTTTGTTTGGGAAGGCACTAAAGCAATAAGTTGTAGGTGACATAGAAACTGTCTATCCCTGTTCAACACATTTAATTTTCAGACATGTGAAGCTTCCTTTGGTATTCATGAATGTTAATAGCTTTATTGAAGGGTACAAAATGATTTTTTTCCTTTTTAGAATGTGCCCTGATTTCAATTGATCTTTATGTATTTAGAAATTTTAGTCCCACTTTTTGAAATAAAAATTTAATATTGACATAAAATGAAATCTAGTTTAACAAGCAGGCCCATTTTTGTAACTAAGCAAAATCCTAGTGCGTCGTTTAATCCAGGATAAAATAAAAAAAAAGATGGCATATCTAAGGGGCCTAACATTTTGATTTCACTCCTGTAACACCTTTTCAGAGCCTCCCAATAGCCAAGCAAGGCCACCCAACGAGTTGTACACAGGTTGCCCAAAGCCATAAGGAATCCACTGATAGAGGGACAAGGTCTCTAGTGCTTGGTGGGCCAGCAATGCAGTATTCATAACATTCTGAGGTAAAAATATTGCCCTCTGCAAGCCACATTCCAAGTTATTTTGAAGTTGGCCACTTTGGGTACCCTGGAAAAAACTCAAAATGTTTTGGACACCTTCTTAATTGCAATCCAAATGTATTTTTAAAGATGTATATACAAGACACTGTATAACTGCTAGTATAGTAATTTCTGTTCAATGCTTTTTATTTATTCTCAGAAAATCCACAATTATTAGCAACTAAAATAATAATGGTCAAATACTTGAAAACTCAACGTAAAATTGAAAAGTGGATTAAAAAGGCCTTTTCACTTGCTTCAATAGAAAAAAAATCAAAGTTTAATAAAACATCAGAGGCAGGAATTACAATTCTGTCAAATTTGGATCAATTTTGTAGTTTTTTTCAATAATTATGTATAATATGGTAATATTTTAGGTACATAGTAAATTTGTATGCATGTAATATCTGCCTCCATCATTTGGTAAACTTTTTATATTTTCTACAGGTAGTCCTCAACTTATGACCATAATTGAGGCAAAATTTCTGCTGCTAAGCAGGACAGATGTTAAGAGAGTTTTTCCCATTTTACAACCTTTCTTGCCACAGTTGTTAAGTGAATCACTGAAGTTGTTAAGTTAATAACACCACTGTTAAGTGTATCTGGCTTCATCATTGACTTTTCTTATCAGGTCACAAAAGGTGATCAGGTCACTGCAACTGTCATAAATATGAGTCAGATGTCAAGCATCCAAATTCTGATCAAGTGACCATGGGCATACTGCAATGGTCGTAAGTGTGAACAATGTTCCTGAGTCACTTTTTTTCAGTTCCGTTAAAAAAAAGTCGAGGATTACCAGTATATATTTTTTCAATGCTTCATGTATTTACTATTTAGTTATTTGATAACATTTGTTAATCATAGTTCAGTTTTTTTAAAAAAATCCACAATTATGGTTACATTTCAAGCTGACATTATTTATTCTACAACAAAATTAATTACCTGATTTTTGAAATTGTTAGATTGTAAATTTGAATATACTGGATTATTTCATCCAAAAGGCGATCTGTCATTGAATCAAAATCAGCAAATGTGTCATTCTGTGGGGGGGAAAATTCAGGGTTCTTATACAAAACTGTTTTGTGATAAGCATGCATCCTTAGCAAATTACATGAATATAGAAAAGAACAATAAAAAGCAATAGCAGTAATTCCCCAGAAAGCCGTAGAGTAGACAGAACAAAACAACCATAAGACAAAATGTTGTGACATCATGACAGCTCACACCGTGACCCCATTTCATAAAGTCTAAAAGAGTTTGCTTCTTTCCCTGGCCTTGAGAGATGGACACACACACACACTCCCATGTTAGAAGCATTCGTTGTATTTTGTACACTTTGATAATAGTTGTTTGGATTACCGTTCTGTTAATTCCTGCTTGTTATGTCCCTTGTTTCATTATCTATTACTACCTTTTAATATTTTATTCTAATATTGTGAGCCACCCAGAGCTGATCTCGCACCAGGTAACACTAAAGTAGAGTGGAACTGAATAGAACCAAACTAAAACACTATATACAGCAGAGCCATAACTGCTTTAAAAGACTGAAGCCTGGAAGACATAGCACAAACCACAATATTAGTCAAACTTAGTTTGTTCAGGTTTTCAAGGTTAAATCAGCCATAGCTGACTGTTGTGACTCAGCAGTTTTGCTGAGAGTTCTTTCGGGAGCAAGAGTCATTAGGCAGCTGGGAGTGGTTTGAGGCAAGTTTGGAGATAAAAGGNAGCTTTTCTGATTTTATCTAGATGCAATGGAATGAACCCAGAATTCCTTATACATAAAATATACAAGGTACTTTGGAATTATAGATCTTTAGCAAATACCCTGATATCAGGTTATAAAATAAAGCAAGAGAAAGGTTATGTGGCACATTACAAAATTTTCAAATGTCATTAAGATTTTAGATGTCTATCTTCTCCCTCTCAATGCTATATACAATTACTCAAATAACTCCCAATCTTAAGACAATATGCCTTTATATATTTTAAAAAAACCACAGTTGCATTAATTTATTCTGGTCTTGCTTAGTTTCAATTTATAAAATGTATTCAATCCTTGCTTTCAATAAGAATCTTGCAAGATATAAAGTCAAAATTTTATTTAATTCCAGCAAAGTTAATTCCAACATTTTTGACTTACCTTCAGTGACAGAATCTAGATACCGATCTTCAAAGATTATAGGTAAGGAATTCAGATCTCCATCTAATTCACTGCATTCAATTGGGAGAGGTGGGAGAGAACTACAGAAGGAAGTGCTTTTTATTGCAGTACACATCTGAAGGTAACTCTGGGCACTGAAAGATACCATTTAAGTTAAAAAGTAAACATGTAAGTTACAGTGCAATTAAAATGTAGTTTTATTCATGTACTCAAAATCCAGTATTTTGCATTACTTATGGAAATCATATTCAACTGTATTACATTTATACATGTATATAATTTATACATGTATAAATGTATACATTTATACATGCATATAACGGTATTACATTTTATGAAGGAAATCTATCTGCATCAACAACAGAAATGGCAGCACTTAAGCATAGTGTCACTCATGTATTTCTTGGTGGGTACACTTTTTGAATTAATGGCTTAGATAATGTAAACAGCATATTTTATTTTGCCAGTTACCCAAGGAGGGACTTGAAAAATTGGTCCTAACAGTCTCTCATTATATCACTGATTGAAAATGGTACTTAATATTATTAACTAAATATTAGTTACTTCTTTTTCCAGGGAAATTTGATCCAACAGAAGGTTCTAAGATAGAAAAGGAGTGAAAATAGATTGGCCTTCTTTTCTGTCTGTTTCCTCCTTATCCCTGTATCTGGAGGAATTTCTATACATCAGGAGCAGGAGGGGAAAAGGATATTGTAGGAAAAGAAGGGAACTGTACCAAAAGAACTGCTTCCTACAACTGTTCACAGAAGACTCCAATGATATAAGATTGCAGTGAATGCTAAGATAGCATTTGATAAAAATCACTTATAGGAAGACTGAAGATATACATTAGAGAATACATTTTACTATTTTAAATATTACAGAATAAGTTAATTTAAATCAATAGAGAACATAAAGACAAGAAGTTTATGAATTCTGATTCAATTGTTTCTTTTTAAAGTTACTTACTGAAGTTCTTGATACGCAAGGGCTGCCTCCCGGGGATGTTCAAAACAAAAAAAAGCTTCAGAAAATCTACGTACCTAAAATGTTTTGAGATAATATGTTTTGAATTTGCTTTATTTTTCCCAAAAAATGCACAAAGTGTACTTATATCATCATTTTAAAATAATGGTGGTTAATTATTATTTTTTAAAAAAATCAGATACCTACAATGCTTAAGCTTATATAGTACTGCTTATGTATAAAATCATAGGGATTTTTAAAAAATCAATATTTGGCTGTTATCTTTTTTCTTTATTGTACACCAAAGATATATGTAGTGGGGGAACATTCAAAGAAAAACCATTGGGTAACACTTAAAGACTACAGATTCTACACAATGTCTCTAGTCTGAAAAGCTTACTCATAGTAAATGTGCTAGTTTTATTTAACAAAATATTATCCATTATTCTTAGTCATCCAAATGCAATATGCTAACCCTCAGTACATTTCCAAACATCATAGATATCCATATATAATAAATACAAACTACTCCATGGGACTTTCTATGCATCTGATACTGATTTATTGAACATCAGCTTATATTTCTATTCCCAATCCCTGACTTAAATGCATATTAATTTAGCTATTCCGTTATCCTAGTACATGTTTACCTCAACTGCTTTTTATCCTGTCTCCTGTTGTAGCAGTTAAAATTCATTATTCATCTATTGTGCAGGAACATTATAGTGCAATTCACTGCTTAGTTGAAGTAGCTGACTCAGATGCCACTAGAATTCATTTACATTTAATCAAGATCTACAAATTAAAAAGATCTGTAGGATAACTGAGGAAATGTTAAAGCATCTAATTTAACTTGATCAATACTTAGTTCCAATATTATCCAGATTTTTACTTTCAGTTTTACTAGAACTAAAAATATATGATTTTACTTTTATGAATTGTAACACAAAAGATAAATACATACACGCATTATATGATGCTCTTGTGATAATAGTGCAATGACATCTTCTTGGAAGTTAACAGATTCCAGAAATTGTCCCCATAAAGCCATCAAGAGAGAGCACAGCTGTGCAAGATTCATGTTTATAAGTTCTGCCAGTTCATCAGGATTTTCCATTTTCTGCACCAATAGAAACCAACAAGCCTATATAATCCTAGAAGTAGAATGGCTATTATCTGAAAAACTTAAAATAATTCTTTTTCCAAGTGGCCACACTGATTTTTTTTAAATATAATTAATTTCTATCTTTGTTTGAATTACAATATATACTTTCAACATCTCAGGTAATTTCTACATTAAGAACCATCTGTGAATGAGACTGCATTTAGGAATTCATTTTCAACAGTGGCTAATCAGATGAGGCTTCTGAAATCCAAGAGAATGGGCAAGGAGACAATAACCCTTCCTCAACATTGTTTGCTCATGGATTCCAATGAACATTGAGTTTGAATGTACACTTCCACTTAGGAATAAAGCCTAATAATCTCTGAAAAAGTTCTGAATCCCCTTTTAGAGCTTATGATTGCCATCATATCATCTGTACACAGACAAACAAGCTACCTCCCCAGCACATACACATTTTCCATTCTCTCTTCTATGTGCCACTCTACAATTGGTAGAAGTTATTAATTGGATACCATTATCTTTTTTATTAAATTAATCAGTCCGTAACACATTATCATCTTTCTTCAAAAAGAAAGGGTTCTGTTCCTTTAATAATTTTAAGTGTTCTCCTCAATAAATTTAGCCCTTCTCTAAATATCCTATCAGAGATGATTGACTAGGTTTGTAAAATGCATTATAATGTTGTACTTTTACTTTTAGCATTTGCCTTTTTCTTTTTTCCAGTATTGCTGATATTTTGTTTTGAACACTCTTTTTTTCCTAATGATCAGTGAAGCTGGACATATGTTGATTAGAGGAAAAATACCTTTATTTCTTCACAGAGTTCCAAAAGGCGTGCTTCTACATCTACATCTACGTTCTCTGAAAAGACCAGTGTATGTAAAATTAATATTCCTAAATTCTAAATAATATGTAAATTAAAAGCTAAACCACATTTGAATGCATTAGATATAAAAAACAAGGAATTTATTTTGACAGTTTAAAAATATTATAAATATCATATGAAATCTAATAATTCCTAAAGTGACTTAAGCCATTTTAATTAGGGCCCTTCTTTCTGCAATATTTTCACTAATTATGCTTTTCATATATTAAACATATATGATAATACAGATTTTTCCTTTAGACCTCTAAGATGAAATGTTGAAATTTTATTAAGATTGACACAATCATGAGCTCATGAAAATCATCACTAGAAAAACAAGTTCAGAAGAATGTGTTCTGAAAATATAAATAGGGTGGTTGTATTTTTAAAATGTCAGAAACTGGGTTGGGGAATAAGGAATATACATAGAGGCTAATGGAAAAGTTTAACAAACATTATTTTGGAATTCCATTTATCATATGCCCTTGATATAATAAAGGAGTAGGTTGTCATTTTCTGGGATTCTCCTCCCCCACCTGAAAATTTGTTCCTTCTCTCTTAAGATGGCTGCCTTAAACTATGTAGTCAGTAGTTTGACATACGCAGAAGGAATTGGCAAAAATTGTTGCTCCACTTTGGTCAGCAATTGTCTCTGCTGGAACCCCTTCTGTTCATGTAACTCAAGATAGAAGCTATTAAATTAAATTCATTCAGAATAAAAATCTCTTACAGCTAGTCCTTGAGATTATCGCAATTGAGACCAGATTTCTGGTCACAAATTGTTATACTCATAAATCAAAACTCCTAAGTGACTGAACCAAATGAAAAAATTCAGAAATTGTAAAGCACTTTCATATATGTAAAGTTAATTGCTAAGGTTTTTAAACTAATTCATTAGCCTCATTGATAAAAATGTCTATCAATTTAAATCTATTAGAACAGGGGTGTCAAACTATTTCATTGAGGGCCGCATCAGCGTTGTGTTTGACCTTGAGAGGCCAAGTGGGAATGGCCAGCTACACGTCACTCGTGTCAGGGGTGCCTGTGTTGGCCTGAGAGCTCTGCCAGCGAAAATGGGCTGTTTCCAGGATGGCCCTGCGGGTCAGTTCCAAGCACCCTGCGGGCCGGATCCGGAGCCCTGGCCTTGAGTTTGATACCCCTATATTAGAGCATTTTTCAGATTAATTATACTGCAGATGCATTTGTTCTCAAATGAAATATAGCTTAAATCTTTTTGTAACCGAACATTCTCACAACTATCTTTTAAAATTGTATAACTAGGATTAAGATGACCTATTTTGGAGTTGGAAAGCAAAGACCAATAACCAAATTTAGCTCATCTCAGAAACTATACAGGGCTAGATATGGTTACCATCTGGATGGGAAAGCTCCTGGAAATACCAAGGCTATAGGCAGTATTGGGAATTGCAAATCAATTCTTGAAATCACTGGGAATCAAGCTTGATTTGAAGACTTATCTTAAAACTTACATCATTCCACACAACCCCTATATTAGTTTACATAGAATTTTTAAAAAAATGTATTCATAAAAATGTCTTTAAACTATGATATTACTTAAAAGTATTTTGGACATGTCTATAAATTTGAAGCATTTACTTCCTTAAAAGTCTTTGAAATTTTAATAAGGGTTGAATTGGTAATGTTCCATGAGAAAATAAAGAACATTTGGACAAAATATTAAGATACAAAAAGATGTAACAGCATAAACTTTGATTTTTTTTTTTTAAAGTGAAATAATTTTCCAAAAACAGAACAAGTTTTTCTAAGGTAGTTATTTAAATTTTGAAACAAAGGTTTTTATAGATCAATTAAAATTGCAACATGGGAGGTATTTTATTAGCATTTCCTTGTCAAAAATGCTCTGGAGATTATTCTACAGATCCAGAGTATAATCTGAGGATAAGGTAGTGGTCTGCATAGGAGAGAATGTATTTTTCCAAGGCTTACTGTTCTATTGAAGGTACCACTGCTGCATTCAGCTAAAAGTGCCTCTAACTGCTAAATATTGGGAGTTTGACATGAGACCCTGGTAGGGACAGAATAAAGTTAGCATTCACCCTTCATTTTTCTGAAATGTAGCATTCCTTTGTTTTAAACAGAGTTTTATAGGCTCAATTAAGTGTTTACACAAACTCGGTCAATTCTTAAGTTCCAGGAATGGGCAGAAAGATCTGAACTTGAAGCAAGTCTTTTACCATCCAGAGCTCGGTCCAAATTTTCCAATAAACCAGAATTTTGTCACAAGCATAGAACAAAATGTTCTGATGTCCCATAATTGCCTTGTGTTTTCTGTAAATTTCCCCAAGTTATGAAGTTTAGAGTCTGTGTTAACCAAAAACAACAAGAGCAGGTTTACATTGTTGACATTGACTTGAGTGGGATAAAAGAGGGGGAAAGAGGTCATTTAGTGTGAGTCACAGCCATCATATATTGCTGTCCATATAAGTAGCTTTCATTTGATTTTTAATTATTCACTTGGGGAAGTTGTTAGTGTTTGTAATGTAATGTCCCTCTATATTTTCGTGTCATGCTCTTTCTCTTAGGTTGCCAATTGGAAAAGTGAACATTAAAACTATACTTTGGAGAAAAGCTTCCAACTAACAGCCTGAGAAGTATATTTATGTTGCTCTCAAGCTTTTCATGTTGATTCTTCCCTGGGTTCAGTTGTGTATGTGTCTGTTCAAGAAGGCTGGAAAAAGTGCAATTAAGTTGTTGCTTTCATTTTATTATTAGTTTTTTTTTCTCCCACCTTTCTAATATATAACTCAAGGTGGCAAACATACTTAATAATCCAGCCTCGTATTTTCTCCTGAGAAAGCATGACTGGTCCAAAGTGACCCAGCTGGCTTTCATGCCTAAGGCAGACCTAGAATCTACCCTATCTTGGTTTCTAAGTAAGCACCTAGACAAGCATTGTTAAGTTGCCTTTGACCAGTTTCATAGCTTCTTGCATATCATGTATGTTCCATACTAGTAAATTATGCTATGTATTAACATACGTTTTAAGGTAGTAATTTCAAGACAAAAGTACAGAGCATGTATTATATGTAAAATATGGAGGAATGGGCTCATTTTAAACTATGAATCAACAGAGCCATAATCCATGTTACAAATCATATGGAATTAATGATTTACAGTGGCATGTTTCCTTCAATATGCATGTGAATTCCTTCAAGATATAGCAACTGAGTCAGAGGAGATGATATCAAAATGTTAGGAAGTCCTGCAGGCAACTAGGCTAAGGAGCACCAACATCTTCAGGAGAATGAGGAAAAATAATGAAATCTGTGTCACATCGGCATTCAAATGCATATGATTTATCTATTTGTTAGATGTCAGGATGAAAGTATGTGGCCAAGGAATTTGGATGATGTTGTCACATCATGGCATGTGTTGTCATTTTCATGTCATTAGTTTGCTGCAGATGCTATTTCTAAAGGAACGTATGGTACAAATTTAAGAATTTGCTGAATAATTATTTTATTTTTAAAACAGCTAGAGCCAGTTGAAACAACAAATTAGGTTACTCATCCCAGTGATTATTCCAATTTATGGCAAACAGATACCAAAAAATGCAGTGCTTTTTCCACTTACAGCAAAATGGATTGTATCTTAAAGTAAAATTATGTTCCTAAGCAGACTAACATAGAACTACAATTCAGTTAAAAGGTTTTTTGGCTTTCTGTAATTTAAGACAATCAAGGACACATTTTTCCTTTAGCTTTCTAATTAAGAAGTTTAAAATGTACAAGAAAGTCACTTTCTAACATGACAACGATTCTAAGCACCTGGCCAAGAAACACAGGAATAGCTTAGGGCAGCGATGGCGAACATTTTTTGGCTCGCGTGCCATAAGTGGGGGGGGGGTTGTGTGCAGGCGTGCTGCACCCATAATGCAATGTGTGACACACCCCCCAGTGCACATGCCCGCACTACAGGTGTGCCCCCCCCCATTTTTTGCATGCTTTTTTCGCCTTCCCCAGGCTCCAGAAGCTTTATAGGACCCTGGGGAGGGTGAAAACAGCCCCCCCCCAAAAAAACCCTCTGGAGGCTTCAGGGACCTTCAGGAGGCTTCCCTGAAGCCTCCGGAGCAGTCAAAACAACCCTCTGAGCAAACCGGAAGTCTGTTCCAAACTTCCGGTTTGCCCATAGGGCCGTTTTTTTGTGCTCCGGGGGCTTCAGGGAAGCTCATGAAGCCTCCAGAGCGCCTCTGGAGCCTGGAGAGGGCAAAAAATGGCTTCTAAAAAAGGATGAACTTAGCTGGCCAGCGTGCACATGCACGCTGGCTAGCTAACAGGGCAGTGCCTCACGTGCCCTGACAAATGGCTCCGCGTGCCACCTGTGGCACGCGTGCCATAGGTTCACCATCACTGGCTTAGGGGCAACTCTGTGAATGTTCTAGAGTGACCAAGCCAGAGCCCTGACCTGAACTCTATTGAACATCTCTGGAGGGGGACCTGAAAATGACTGTCCACCAATGATTGCCATCCAATCTGACAGAGCTTGAGAGGATTTGCAAGGAAGAATGGCAGAAAATTCCCCAATCCAGGTATGAAAAGTTTGTCGTGTCATACCCCAAAAGACTTGAGGCTATAATTGCTGCCAAAAGTGCTTCAACGAAGTATTGACTGAAGGCTCTGAATATTTATGCCAACGTGATATTTCAGGTTTTTTTTCAATAAATATATAGACATTTCTAAAATTCTGTTTTTACTTTGTCATTATGGAGTACTGAGTGTAGATTAATGAGGGGGGGGGAAAGAATTGCAACAACTACAGCATAACAAAATTGACAAAGTCAAAAGGAATCTGAATACTTTCTAAATGCATTGTATATAAAAGCAATTATGGGATTCCAAATAATATCCAAAAGAGTACATTGAATTGGATCTTTTTTCATGAACAGAAATGCTTTTGCCATCAGTATTGCTTTGATGGAAGACATTCCAGTTCAATGGACGCTCCTACTAAAGGGGATGTAGTGGCTATTTGATTTTATTTTTTCCTTTGATATTTCTAGCATATGCTGTTTAGAAGAGTATTATCTCCAAATCCTCCTGCCCTTTTCTTTTTTATCAGAACATCCTGGGATCAGAATTTCATGTATGGGGAATCTGAATTCAACTCACTGAATATTTGCACTTATAGCATAAGCCTGTATTATTATTTTATCTCATGCTTGGAAGTAGAACCAGATATTATTACACAGCATGCTATCAGAAGGACAAATAGGTAGGAGAAACTGAACTTCCAGTGAAAGTATCACATTTCATCAATACTGTAACTTCAGACAAAGCTGGACAGAGCCTTAATTTAATATATTTATTATAGTAATTAATCCTTTGCCCCTTGGGTTGAATTGCTGTTTAAGGCTCTTTGAATTTCTGTAAACATGAAATAATAGGTATTATTTATAAACAGTAATATAATTTTACTATAATAAATCCTCCACTTTTTAAAGAACATACCTAGATAGGCGTCTCCCTGGATTCGTAGATATTTTCTTCTGAGAAGACGTTCATAAAGGACCTGCATGCTGGACTTGGCTAGTTATAGGGATTGTACACATGACTAGTTACTACACTCTTCCATTTGTGCTTATTATTACTATTATTATTATTAGCTTTAAAGTTAATAAGAAAGCTTATAATTTGCCTACTAATTAGTGAAATTAGATAAGAAAATTAAAGAATAGAATTTAGTAGATTTCTAGATCTGGAGTTGATGATGTACATTATGGCCGCCTTGGTCTTATAATTTGTATGGAGTTTAATCTGTTAATGCAAAATTGTTCAAATGCTCACAATTTTTGTTATTTAAATATATTATGGTGGAACATGATTTGTTCAAAACTTCTCTCTTTTTGTAAGACCCCACCCAAAGCCAATTATGAAAATAAAATGTACATCAGAAAAACAAGAAAACAGAAGGCAAAAGGAAAAGTATACAATGCAAGGCAATTTTTTAAAAAACAATGTTTTCAGATTCTTTTTGCTAGAATCCCATTTGAATCAAAATTCTAGATAGTGTATAACAAATACCCATTATTTTATGATAATAATCCAAAATACCTCATTTTTGTTTATAATCTGAATGCACATTGCAGGTAAGTAAGCCAGTATCTCATCCAAACTTACATACATGCAACTTTGATTTGAACTCCGTATGTTTAGCAATAAGTTTTATAAGTTCATGTTAGTAATATTAGTACACAGCATCAACGCAGTAAATGTCCTAGACATGACATGTTTTTTTTCATATGCATAGGCCAAATTAAAATATTGAATAAATGAACCTAAAAATCAAAATATAATATTATCTACAGAAAATCCCAGAAATAAAGCATAATGTATTGAAAAATTCTCTTTTCAATTCTAAACCTTTAAAAAAAAACAATAATTGTTTGACTCATGGGTTCCATTTAATTCCTGAAAAGATTAGAGTGGGTTCATTTAAATAATTTTCTGTGGGGTAACTATTATTGAAACATAACGTTTAATCTTAAGAAAAATATTTAGATATTTTCCTTAAATAATTCATAAAACTAGATAAATGTATTTACAACTATATGATAAAAATATATCACCTTACACAGTATTATTGTGTATAATGCACAGAAACAATTCATTACAGAATACAAGGATTTTATTAACACAACCAAATGTTATATCCCAATTTATGTATCAATTCCAGGGTATATTTTGCTATTCTAATGAAATGTTAGATGAGGACAACAATTTATAGTCTAGGAAGGTGAAGGGATTTGCATCTTCAGTGGAAAAAATGCTTCAGAGAAAATAGGTGCATGCTACTGCATTTGCTGACAGCTTAAAGAAGCCATGCCTTTGTTATGTAGATGACCACAGAATATAAGGATTTGGTTAAATCTTGATTCCTCAACTAAAATAAACATTTTTTTAGGATGAGGTAGCTGCAGTGTAAATCCAAGAAAACTTGTGGCTTTTTGAAGAAGGTACTAATAAATATAGTATGTTTCCATGTTCTCTCTGAAATATTTTTCTGTGTCAGATTCAACTGTCTGTGGATAATTGCTGGAGTCTTAATGTACAATAATAGATTTTAGCTGTATCTATATGCTTTTGCATATGAAACTATATTTATGGAGATTACTAGTTTGTTATGATCAGCCTTTACATCTATGCATAAACCTGTTATAAATATAATATTCTGTACATGCTAACCCTTCCAGGAGCATGATCAGATAAATTAACCAAGAATAGAAGGCATATTATTTTGTCCATATCTGGGTCCTTGGATTTCTGTATCATTTTCCACATCAAAATGGCAAAAATAGATTTTCTTAGCTAAAACATCATAAACATGTTTAATTACTATACAGAGCCACGCTAGCATTTTCTCATTTCTGAAGTTCCTTAAAATCACACCAGTGAAATTTAGAAGCATGGTTAGAACTCACTGGGGATATGGTTTCTAAGTGTTCTGGCTTCAATCTACTTTGTAAATAAATCTAAAAATCTAAATAAAATATTAAATAGAGAAATATCAGCAATAAAAGCATAATGTATTAAAAACTCTCTATTTTAAAGTTGATTTTTTTTCAAGATAGTAATTGATTTATTTGTAGCCCTTATTCAGTAGGAAAGACAGTGTGACCCCAGCTGTTATGTCAGCAAACAGAGACAAGCATAAACCAACATGCAGCTCATTCATGGTAAACTAGATTGTCCAGAAATGTAGCATAATATTGAATGTCAACACAGCTGCTAACTTTCTAATTCTGTTAACTACATTAAATCTTTAATAACTGATGTTCCAAAAAGCACTAGTAGCTTTATACTGTAGATGCATATACTTATACTGTAGATGCATATACCACTGCAAATACAACTGGGTGTGTCTTTGTTATTTTAACTATTATATCAACAAAGACTAACTTGCTATTGCGGCTACTGCTAAGGAGCGCACACAATGATTATCATGTTAAAAATCAGATACTCCTGTCTCGTTTTTTAAATAGTTGGTTAAAGTGAATCTATTTTATTTTTCGGTTTCCAATCAAACTCAGACTCTTGAATTGTAGGAGAGATGGGATGAACAAGAAATGTACAGGCAGTCCTTGTCTTGTAACTGGGACCAGGACCTCAGTCATTAAGCAATGTGGTTGTGATGTCAGTTGTGCCCAATTTTAGCACTTTTTTGCTATGGTTGCTAAGCAAATCACATTATTAAACGAATCTAGCTTCCCTCACTGACTTTGCTTATCTGAAATCTCCTGTGAAGGTAGCAAATGCTGATCACATGACCTGGGTTGTTACAACCATTGTAAATACATGCCAGTTACCAAGGGCCCGAAATTTGATCCTGTGACTGCAGAGATGCTATGACAGACATAAGCTGTAAGAACTGGTCATAAAACTTTTTTTTTATCACCATAGCTTTGAATGGTCATTAAACAAATGGTTGCAAGTCTAGAACTACCTGTACAAGTCTTAATAGTGACTATGTATTTATCTCCATGTCTCTAAATCCTAGGCTTATCCTGTATTAGTAATATCAAAGTTATGCAATATTATATCACACTATATACAATATACAGTGTTAAGGGATTCTAAATCACCATTATCATATGACAGAAAGAAGGATAAGCCTTTCATTTGAAAGAAAACTGTATATCCTATTATATTGTGTAGGAAATTTCAGCTTTTAATTCTTATTGTTATTAATGCAAATACATTTGAAATAAAATGTTTTGCAGTAATTGTAGTTTATTTTAATGAGCACAGGATATATATAATATATACAATATTAATATCTACTTAGTATAAATATGTCGGTGTTCTGACATATTGTATGAGAAAATAGGGTAAATTTCAGATTTTGAAGAAATGTCAAAATATTTAATAAAAAAAGTAAACTATATAATTAACTCCATGGGCAGCATTTTTTATTGTATTATCTATTTCCTAAGGCATATCTTAGCAGTACAGTGGCCTATAGGCTTTGCCATCAAAGGAAAAATATTTTGACATACCTGCATCTAATTTGTGACAGGAAGGCAGTTCATTCGATAAATTGGTAAAATAACTGTGTAATCCTTTGAAAGCGAACAGCAAACTGGCACAAAGTGTATGGTGAAGACTGTAAGCATGATTCAAGAAAGGTTCTGCTATTACAAAACTGCAACCCTAAAAATGGATTTATAATTTATAAGTCATAAGGAAACATCAACACTTTATTTCAAGTTTAAAGACAATGCTTAAGATATTACCCAAGGCATTCTTTTTATATAAGCTTTCCACCCTCACCTATCCACAAACATATACACACACAAAGGGCATTCCAGAGTAGAGGGAGGGAGGGAGGGAGGAAAGAAGGCTTCCTATGAACATGTCCTAATTCTGGAAATCTTATACAGTATTACAGTTCACTGATTTTTTTTTTAAAAAAAAGTTTACTTTTTAGGATAGATTTCTCAAATAAATCAACAAAAAAATATCTATTACATAGCATCATGACCAGTATTTCTAGTAAGCAATATTTTAATATAGCAGATATTTGTCAATATCTATTCCATGTAATGTTTTGCTTCTTAGAAAATTATTCTGTAAATAGTTTGTACTGTTCAATCTATGAAGAAGACAAAATAATTCCAATCTTACATCAGCTGATAATTGCTTGGTGTAATTGTTGCCAAAGACAACACTTTCAAGAGAAGGAATCACAGAATCCCTGCTCTGCGCTGGTGCATTTCTGTTTAACCAAGTATTCTTTATAGGGCGAGGAAAGCTAAAAATAAATGAAGGCAGAATTAAACATCAAAACAAATACAAAAGTGCAAAGTGTGCAGGAAAAATCAATAGTAGAGAATTAAAACTAGTTTAGTATTTGTTGCGACTATTGCATAAGGCCATTATACTGCACAGAATATGATAAATGTATAAAATTAAACATTATTTAAATTATTGTAAATACAGGTGTCCTTACAACTTACAGCCACAATTGTGCCCTGAATTTCTGTTGCTAACCAAGACAATTGTTAAGTGAATGCTGCACCATTTTATGACTTTTGTAACAGTTGTTAAGTGAATCAATACAGCTGTTAAGTTAGTAACACAGTTGTTAAGTCAATCTGTCTTCCTTATTGACTTTGTTTGTCAGAAGGTCCCAAAAGGTGATCATATGACTCCAAGACACTGAAACAATCATAAATATGATTTGGTTGCTAAACATCTGGATTTTGATCATATCACCATGCAGATGCTGCAAAGGTCATAAGTGTGAAAAACAATCATGTCACTTTTTTCAGTGCTGTTGTAATTTTGAATGGTCACTAAATGTACCATTGCAAGTTCAGGACTATCTGTAATATTTTAGATGTTTATAGATGAACGAATTGCTAAAGAGTTGCTTAAATGTAAACTATTTTTGCTAATTACTTTTGAAAAACTAATGATCACATTATAAAGTTACAACTAGCATATCTAAAAAATAACTACATCTGAATATCACAATGTAGAGAAAGCCATTTTTTGCCAAAATAAAAAGTATGCATTTTTGCACATTTGACAGGATACACAAGTTAATTCAATTGTAATGTTTATTATTTTGAAATGGTATAAGAAAAAACAAAACAGAGTATTAAAATATTCCAGAGACTAAAAAAAAAACAAAAACCAAGGAAGTTGATCGTATTTTTCATTAAGAAAACAAATAAGTTTGTTCTGCTTTCTTTCCTTTGCTTGTAGGTCCAAAATTAGGTCTCTTTCAAATGTGCTTAGTTAAGTAAAAAGCAAGGGTTTGTACAAACTTAACAAATGTAACAACAGGAAGTGCATTTCATGAATAATGAATATTACAGCATTATGATCTAGTGGAAGCACTATCTGTGCAAGCACTCTCTTGTTCCAGCAGCAGATGACATCTCTGAAGCAGCTAAATGAACCTAGCAAACGATGCAACTTCTTTAACTCTTTGAACAGAAGTGTGCTGTTCATGCAAATGCACTTTACAAAGCACTTACTTCAAATGCTTTGCATAGCCCTACTGCAAAGTTTAATCTTTTCAACGGGTAAAATAAAAATGCACTTTGCAAAGCACTTATTTCAAATGATTTGCACAGCCCTACTGCAAATTTAACCTTTTCAATGAATAAAACTGCTAGGATAGCAATACAAAGGATACCTATGGACTTTTAGGATGCCACACTATCAGAAACATAACTCATAAGTGTTTGCTGTTGGTAGGATAAATACAAATTCATAAGCTGAACAAAAAGTATAATAAGATGTTTCAAGCTATAACTCCATACATAGCCTATGTAATTTTACTACCTAATTTAGGAATAATTTCACATTCAGTTGTTTGCAGAGAACTATACTTTCTTCAGATAGCTTATGTCTATATTTCTACTAGAAGCAGTTTCATATTAGATAAAAAATAGTTTGCAGCAATACACTCAATGCAAGAGAAATATATCATATATTCAAACAATGATCAATTTAGATAATATCTTTTGTCCCAGAGAAATATTTACACTAGCAAGTAGGGTCTTACATATTAACTACCCACAATACCCTGCAAATGATCATGCTAGCTAAAGCTATTAAGAACTGATATTTGACAGGCACCAGTAAATGTACCCTGTCCAAAATATGTAGATAGTATTTGGAAACTCAAATGAAAAACAGTCTTTTGAGAAGTATTTGCCCAGTTTTCAAATTGTCAAAATAGTTATAAAAACATAATAGAGTTAGTCAAAATAGTCTTTCATAGGGCGGTTCCCCAGTTCTTAAAAATGGCATCCTGGAAATCAAGAAACCTTATTAAACAGAATAACCTGTAGTGTAAGGGGCTGACAGAGAAGGGAGATTTTTTTAAAAAAATGATGCGACCATTTTATTAAGAGAATCATTTAGTTCTAATTTCTGAATAAGATATAAATCAATTATATATAAATCAACCAAGCTTATTAAATGAAAGTTTAAGTTTTAAGTTTCCATTTTTAGCTAAAGCATCAAAGAAACCAATTAACACAATATTTCAGACAATGGAAACAATTATGCCATCCTGTTTTTTATAATGATTTTCCCCCATAACAATAGTTAACATAATTAAAATTATTATTTTTAGTGTTTAGGTTGAATAATTTCAATATTCTGGCTCTACAAAAATCTTAACAATCTGATAATTTTAGTAGGGTAGCTACTCTATCTAATTACCCGCCCAAGAACTTTTATCAATGAAATCAACAAAATAGGAATGTATTTCATCACATTAAAATATTGAAAAACAGAACATTTATAGTCATTACCTTATCAATGGCTGATGAAGAGCAACTAAAGAGGCATGCACTATAACAGAGATGACAGAAAGGTGAAAGTAATCAAACATAACATTAACGTAATGATGAAGGCCTCGGTGTAAAGTAAAGTGCAACTTTAGCGTTCGGCTGCTAATTAGCTGCAAAGTGTTCAGGTCCTCTGGTCTAAATGGAAAAGAGCATAAAAATAGGGGGAAAGTATGTTATTAGCTTAAAAGAACAAGTATACAACATGAATTATTTTTAAAATAATTTAATACTAGGATTAAGAATCCAAGAATAAAAAGCAATGACTGAAGTCTATAGTTTTGGTATTCATTCTCATTTGATAATTTGTTTAATATGAGGACCTTACAATAATGATGAAATGATTAGAAGGTACCAAGTATAAGGAAGAGTAAAGAAAATATAACATTAGATTACCTTCAATGAAAGCAATATGACATCATATATGCCAACACACAATTATAAAGTATACTGTAATATCAAATATAAAACATGTGGAACTATATTTACATTACATACAAAGTATATAACAACAAATTCAAACACAACCAAAAAAGGCAATCCCAAAACTAATAACTAGAAAATCCTTAATTTAGTTTTGATATATTTATTTAATCACAATAATTTTTACAATTTATATCATTTTATATAGCCCAATCTAGAAAGTATTTTTGAATGAAAAAATTAAAAGTTTTTTAAAGTTTATAATACATCAAAAAACACACAACCACTGACTTTCAATATTAAGGGCAGGTTAATACAAGAATGAGTTCAGTGCTTACAACTTTACAGTACGTGAACAGTGATAAAAAAATGTATACATTGATGCACTCAGAACTACTGTGTATGATGAGAGGCATAGAACTGCAGCTGAAAAATATAAATATTCAATGTAATTGTATCAAGACAAATATGTAACTAAACTGTGAACTTACGAATAATCTGTATCTGTGAAGTGCAGATCTAAAGACAGTAGGAAATTCATTTCATTAAGAGACTCTTCAATCTAGGAAAATTAAATAAGTAACACAAACTATGATTTGCCATGCATACTCGTGTTGAAAGACACAATATTTATATATTTCTTTTCATTTGCTCAAATGTAGTTACAAAATTGTTTACAATAAATTAAAATACTTTATTACAAGATGTTACTATGCACGACAATGCAGCAGATAGAAAACAAAACAACAATGCTTTTAAATTACTGGTGCAATTTAAAATATTGAATGAATAAAATACTGCACAGTAAATTCACTATTATTTGTACAAAACAGACTTATGTATTTTAAAGTTTTATATGTATATGTATATGTATGTGTGTGTATGTATGTATGTATGTATGTATGTATGTATGTATGTATGTATATATACGCTACTCTGCTTCAGTAATCCAGTTTTTTTTTCTTTTTTGCTGATTTGCCAGGGAACATAAATCATTTACAACCAAGATGCATCGCATGGGACCAGTCATTCTCATTCCATGCTGATAGTATCATATTGACAATACTGGCAGGCAATTCAGCCCATTGGATAAACAATTGAGAATACGAAAGAAAAATAAAGGGCAGGCGAACAATTGTCTTGATAACTGAATCTGAAATGACATGTACCAAATATCCCAATTCTTCTCACAGAGCTGTGACTACAAAGGTAAAATATTCTCTAGAGATAATGAAAGGAATGGACCCAGCAAATAGCTGAGAAGCCATGCTCTACAGGCCAATTTGCACTTTTGGATCTTGCCTTTTCAGATTTCCAAAGTTAAAAAATAATAGGTGCATACTCCCCACAAATGTGACTGTGTCACAGCCAAACATTCCTCCTTAACCTTATAAAGAGAATGTGATTATCTATGCTATTTATATCAATAATGTGATTATCTATGCTATTTATATCAATGAAGTTTTTTATTAACTATATAGGTAGACCTTGACATGTCTTATTGCTTAGTGACCAAAGTTATGTTGAATCCCCACCTCCCCAAAGATACCTATGATGTGGTCCGAATTTCCAATGAAGAGCCGCCCCCCCCACCCCCCAGTAGTCAGATGACTGTATTTCAGGCACTTGGCAACCTGTCTGCATTTAGGGCCATTTATAATTTTCCAGTTATTACCACGAGGTAGGACATTTTGCCGAAAAGCAGCATTTACAGGGGTCAAAGGGGTATAAATGGAGAGGAAGTAGGTGGGGGGGGGGGTTGGAGGTAATCCCTGCCTTTTCTAATGCTTGGAACTGAGAGGGACCAAGCCTGGAATGCTTTGGATTGAGATAGGTACTCATCTAGCAAGCAGTAAAAGTCACTTAACAATGGCAACAGGGATTGCCCATATTGCGCTCGCTAAATGATGCAGTCATTTGACACCTCACTTTATGATTGCATTGCTTTGTTTTGTTTTCAAAACTCTGATACCAACTGTGGTTATAAGTGAAGGACTGCATGTATGCTTAGAATCAGAGAGAAGGTCCCATTCTAACCATTTGGACATTCCTCTGTTATCATTTAGGAAAATAGTCTCTACACTAGTTCACATAAGGTAAAGGTAAAGGTTCCCCTCGCACATATATGCTAGTCATTCCCAACTCTAGGGGGCAGTGCTCATCTCCGTTTCAAAGCCAAAGACCTAGCGCAATCCGAAGACATCTCTGTAGTCATGTGGCTGGCATGATTAAACGCCAAAGGCGCAGAGAACACTGTTATCTTCCCACCAAGATGGTCCTTACTTTTCTACTTGCATTTTTACATGCTTTCAAACTGCTAGGTTGGCAGAAGCTGGGACAAGTAATGGGAGGTCACTCAATTATGCGGCACTAGGGATTCGAACTGCCAACTTTTCTGATCGACAAGCTCAGTGTCTTAGCCATTGAGCCCCCCCATCCTTTACTAGTTCACATAGTACCTATGAATAAGAGACCACAATGTCTTTGCCTTAGGAACCTTGAAAATAAATTAAATTCTAAAGTGGAAAATCAATTCACATTTCTTATCCTAATCTTATTATTTTTCATTAAATTTGATAAATAACTCTGAAAAGATCCAGCAAGATTTTGATATACTGGTGAATTATAAACTGTTGTCTATTCCCAAACATATATACACACACACACCATGCTGGGTAGGATGATATCATCAGGGCATCCCAATTTCTGTAGTATCTTGGTTTGTTTCTTTGCACAGAAACAGCACTGAACTGCTAATTTATTGATTTGAAATATTTGTCTTCTTTCCACTCTTCTAATGACTCTGACCTTCCTGAATGTTTTGGTTGTCTACTGACGTACACAGAATTTTGGAATAGATTAGTCTTCATTTACCAGGGCTTTTCCTACATTATATGGCAATCAGCCATACAGAACTATATCATCTATCTACCTAACTATCTACCTATCCACCCACTCACCCACCCATTATTAGTTAAGTAGATGCCAGTGTTACCTTTCTTTCATCCAATAGCATTTTAATTTTGAAGATCATTGCATCATTCACACAGACCTCTTCATTTTTGTAGAGAATCTGAAATGTTTTACTGCAGACTACATTGTCATGCACAGAAGCTGGGAAGGCAAGATCAGCACCTGAAACAAGAAAATTGCAAGTATTCATCATGGCTCAAAATTTACTGCTATTCTGATAACTGACATTTTTAAAGACTTTTTTCCAAACAACTAGATAGAATGTAATAAATTCTTTATCATTATCATATAATCATATAATATGATTATCATATAATATAATATAGTTAATATACAGCCATTAAACATAAAACATGTTGATGCATTAAGAAACAGAATGCTTAGTTAACCTCATGTTTATTTAATATTTGTAAATTAATTCCATTTCCCAGAATAAAAGTCCAAAGAATACATAAAGCCGGTGATGTCAGTAATCAGTAACATTAATAAAAGGAAAGTGAGCATACCTTTAAAATCAATGCAACCATTGTTTAAGTGTCTGTGTGAATGTATGCTATTAGCATGGCAAGTATCCACAATATTTTTAGGACTTTCTTAAACCATTGTTAAATTAAGCAATATATTAGTATTTTTTATTTGGTCTGAAGAGAAATCCTAGAAACATGCAAAGTATTTTCAATTCAAAATGTTCCAAATTTTAAATGGTTTACTGTTTTGACATCAAAAAAGATTGTTCAAACTTACTTACTAATCAGTAAGTTTAAAATATTACCAGAATGGAATACTGTGGATGAAACAATTTTGTAAAGTCTAAAACATAAATAAACATTGTGAATTCAAAGTAACTTTCATATAATTGTAAAAATTCCTTTGAGGTTTATAAATTTTTAATAAAATCTAAGCAATCTTCTATATTGAAATAGGATTTTGGCTGTTTTTCTCTATTTCCCTCTATTTCTTCAGAAGCCTTAAAATGTTTATATGCTCAGATTTTTCATAAATATTAAGATCAACTCACTAAAAATATTTAATATATAATGTAACATTAATAAGCTGATAACTTTTTAATAAAAGTACTATTAAACAGTAATAATAAGGCTTAAATACTAATGAAATATTTATATTTACTAGTTGCACGTAATAAGCTTGCTTCAATTTTGTGTGGTATTCTTGGAGGAATTTTCATAGATGCACGAATTTGATAGAATCTACAAGAAAGAAAGGATATTTCTAGAATTATTCTGTTCATGATGTTCACCTTTTAAACACTTTACCACAACTTTATACTAATATGGTTTTCAATAAGATTTATAGAAGGTATAAAAATAATGTAAAAATTACAAAAGTCAACAATTTACACATGGAGAGTACAGAGATTGCTGCTAAAAATGCTATGTGCGTTAAGTGAATCACTGTTCACTATGGCACAATTTTGCCAGAAACCAAAAGTAAAAGTTTCATAAAACTCAGTCACGTGACTATGGGATGCTGCAAATGCAGCTATGTTGCCAAGCACACAAAGTGCAGTCACAAGTTCACAGAATTTCAAGTCCAGGTCATAAGTTCCCTCCTTTAGGTAGGTTGTAATTTTGAAGCAAAGCGAAAATAGGATATTTTTTTTAACTATGTATAGAAATTCTTCTATGTTGTAGTTTTGATCCTTAATATCAATTCTTGCTTCTGGGCATCCAAGTGCTCTTGGAAACATTTTCAGAACTGGTTTGCTAATACATTCTTCCTATGCGTAAAGAAATTAACTGGTCCAAAGTCATTCATCTGCCTTTATTGCTGAGAAAAGATTAGAATTTAAATTTCCCTATTCCTAGTCTAGTACTTTTAACCACGACACCAAACTAAGTCTAAATCATACTCAGAATCTAATAAATTTTAACATGGAAATTTCTGCATTCAAACACAAGGAAAGGACATGTAAATATATGTTAACTTTCAATGCTTTAGTGTGATGTAATGAATATTTACTTCATTTTGCAAGAAAACAACAGCCATAAAGAAATTCCTTTCGTTGGGACATGAAAAAGTATAGTAATATGCACACAAATAAGATCAGGAATGAAGATACTGATCACAAAACTGCTGAACCATAAAAAACAGAAACCATAAACAAAAACCTTTAAAGGCTTTTGAGAAAACTCTAAGCCACAACTTTATTAGATTTATATTTATAAATGTCACAGAAACCTAAATATCAAGGTTTGTTTATGTTCCTTATCATGTAATTTAAAATCCTCATAGATTTAAAGTTACAAATGTCACATGTTAACATACCTTTTATTGCGCTCTCATCTATCAATTCAAAAAGATGATTCAAACTTACTTAGCTTTTCTTAGATAAGTAATATTTATCTGGGTATGATCCATACCTCAAGTACTTTTTAATCTCAAGATACAGTATGTATTAAAACACTCAATAAATCTCTATATACAAAGACTTTTGCAGTCATAACATCTGAATTTATAGCATTTATTGTATGGTAGGAAAAATAACTCACCCTCTTTGAAACAAATCCACATTATAAAATTTGTGGAGCTCCACAGAGAATTCTACCATTGCCTGTACTTCACTCATTTTTATGTAGATGGAGGAGCTGTAGTACGGTTACAAGGAATTTAAATTACTAAAAAGAAGGAAAAGAAGACAATTGATGTGACTCATAAGTGACTTTCATACTCATATATATCACTCATAAACATGATTTTGTAGTAATTCACTAGCTGTTTTTTTGCAATACAAAAAACTAAATTCTTAAGCTTAGCATCCATTTTAGAATGACTTTTTAATGTTACAGAGAGGAGAAGGAAGCAGGTGAAAGAAAATATCTCTTTATTTAAAGTGGCAAATTTAATGAATTTGGTTACAAAAATTTGTGTTCAATCTTTAATTATTCTTAAAATAGTAAAGTCTGCTGTATTAGATTCTGTAGCAAAGAAAATGTATTCTATTTCTTTTTAGTGACAGATATACAAACTTTAAAAGGAAGTTGCAGTTCCACAACAAGGACCTGTTAGGGTGGTTTGAAAATGACAGTGCCACAGAAACACTCTGACCACCAAACAACATCTTTCTTCTGTTGACATTTTTGTGAATGTCTGCAGAAGAAAACTGTCATGCATACAACACCTGTAGGTTTTCGTTTTCATGTGGGGCAGAGCTTCTAAATCCAATTATGCTGAATAAGCAAATATCTGCAGGAAAGTAATTTAACAATGTCAGCAGAAATTATGTTTAACTTATACATTCACTTGATGAGTGCTCTGATTTTCTGAATGCAGATAATGAGGATTGCTTATTTTAACCTATTTTGGATGTAGCAGTAAAACCCAATTTAGCAATCAGGATATCATCAGGATCTACCTTTTGGATCTTCATCTCCTCTCTTACTCTAGTGTAGTTATGATGAAAAGATTGATCAATTTTAAAACAAAAGTATTTCCAAACTAAGAAGGATCTTTCATTTAAAGTATGTTTTGTTCGAACAAACCATTAGTCAATCAGTTGTAATTCTGGCTTGTTAATAAACCAAAACTATCTTAATGTCCAAAGTGGGCATTGGCCTTTTGCTTATTATGCTTTAAAATAAACTGAATCAAGAGTGCTGTCAATTAACATAGCAACCCAAAGCACACTTTTTTTTTGCTTACTAATGAGCATTTGATATAATCCTTTCCAATAATTCAAACAATACAACGTCAATCGCATTACAGCCAAAGTAGGGTCAGTCAGACACTGTTGTATCCAAAAATGCATAGAATAAAAAGTAAAGTTATAAATAAATACTTCTCAAAGCACAATCCAGTAAAGACCAAGCATATTTGGTCATGTTCAGAAGTATCAGACTGGTAGTGTCAAGCTTTAAGCCTTTGTTAGTAATCTGTCTAATCAAATGTATATCTGCAATTCCCTTTGGTCAATAACACAGTATTTATTCCTCCTTACAATACTTAATATTTTGTTTAATTCTGTTCAACTAGTATAAAGTGTTAAAGATCCAGCAAGAAGACAGAACATTGTCTCCTTCATAAATTCATCAGCTTGGTAGTTAATACCATGTTTCCCCCAAAACAAGACAAGGAAAATAAGTGCTTGGCCTTATTTTCAGGGAGGTCTTATTATTTTTGAGGTGAAGGAGGAGGCAAGCGTGGTCACCTCATGGCTGTTTCTGTGTTGCAATATTTTCAAGAAGGGCTTATTAGCGGGGGAGGGCTTATTTTAACACATGCGCTCAAAAGCCCGATTGGGCTTATTATCTGAGGAGGTCTTATTTTCAGGGAAACAGGGTATAGATTTTCTAACTTTTTTTACAATATGGTAAGAGTGAGACTTAACACAAAAAATCTTACAAGTATGCATTTACAGTATTTCTAAATGAATAAGCTTCATCTTTACCTCTAATAATAAATAATCCATTTTAATGAAGGCAACAAGCAGTCTTCCAGTTCCTCATTTTTTGCAATCAAAATCATTCTGCTTACTCTGCATGGAAAAGAAAGCAAATTATGGAATATCTAAGTCCCATCTAAATCCAATCTATTTGAGTTTTTCATCAGAATAAAACAAAATATTAACAGTATTCCATGTGCCTCGGTGTATAATCATGCTGGCCTCATGATCATGGAAGAGTCTTCCAACAATGCTGGCAGAGGGGAAAGTGTCACCTTTACTTTGAAAGTGAATGCCTAAAAAAAACATTTGAAATGAAACCAAGAAGTCTGGAATATTTTGTAAAAACTACATTATTTTATTGTGATTAAATGCTGGAAGAAAAAATAATCTATGGTAATAGTAAGTGGTACTTAATTTTAGAGAAAATTAAAAATCTATTATATTAAAATATGTTTTAATGCTGTATCTTTATTATAGTCTTTTATTTATCTAAATCTTAAGTTCATTTATATGTTGACTGTTCAACATCCTATGATTTAGAGCAACGTGCAACTACTATGGTAAATTGGTTTAGGCTAGTTTCTGTTCCCTTGTCACAAAGAAAATGCATCTCTGTTATATACTGCAGTGGTCCCCAACCTTTTTATCGCCGCGGACCAGTCAGCCTTTGATAATTTTACCGTGGCCCGCTGAGCGTGTCGATGACCAGCGCTAGTAGTGTAGCCTTGCGCAGGCGCAGTTCAGTATGGCTAGCGTAGATAGCGTAGCGCTAGCCCTACGTAGCTGCGCAGGCGCTCTTAGGTTTTTTTCAGGAATCGGCCAGCCGCTGCAGCGCTGAAAAGGAAT